GTGGAAGCTGCAGCTCTTCTTCTCGCATTCAAAGCTGCTCAGTTGCACGGCATCTACAAATTGGTCTTTAAAACTTATTGTAAGGTATTAATTAATGCAGTTCAACAAAAGGGCCTTTGCCCTCGGTGTATTCATCATTTAGTCTCACAACCCAAGATGGAATTTAAAGTGGACTAGTAGAACTAGTTATGTTATTGCTCATAAGCTTGCAAAACGGGCTTTTCACTAGTTAAGAACTGTATTTTCTTTTTCTTTTTAATGATCTCCCATCTAGAGTTAAAAATATAGTGTTAGTGGAGTTTTCTTCAATTTATCATCTTGACGTAGGTTTTAGTATCTCCTTGTAATATTTGGACTACTTTGACGCAGGGGAAGGTTTGTTTTAGCAAATAAATAAATATATATATATTTTGTTGCAAGATGTATAATCTATGGCCACGAATGCAGATTTCGTGTCCAAAGTTTTCATTTTTAGCCACGAACTATTGTTTTCGCCATTAAATATGGTACAATATTTTGCCAAAATTATTTTGATGAAAAGTATTTCGTGGCCATAAATGCTTTAATATTACCACGAAAATATGTTTCGTGGTGAAAGGTCTCATCTTTAGCCACGAAAATTATTCTGTCGCTAATGATCTAGCTCATCGCCACAAACATGTGGCCGCTGTAAAGGCTTTTCGTGCGAAAGCCACGAAAACATGTTCCTGGCGATATGTGTCATTTTTAGGTACCAAAACTATTTTCAAGGTTAAATGCTTGACCTTGGGAAGTTGAGATCGAGCTTTCTAATCATCCAACTTTACTTATAATCGTGTTTATTTTGAATTTAGAAGGACTTCACGCAAGGTTTGGAGTACAAGTTCAGGGTCATAGTTCATTCTAATAGATAAATCTCCGAATCTAAGAAAGTTTAGTTCCAAATTGGGTTCGATATCTGATCTGATAATGCTTAGAGATTTCGAATCATATAATCTAGTTTTAATTATATATTTTTTAATTGTAAAATAACTTTGTGACGTTAGATCTTGTGAGGTCGAGAGCTCTCGGATTGTTCAATTTCAAGAACTTCACAAAGTCTGGAGCACAAGTTTAGGGTAAGAAAAACATCCAATTTTATAAAAGCTACTCATAGTTAAGGTCAAATGCTTGACTCTGGAAAATTTAGAACTTTCTAATCATCTAATTTAACCCAATTTGGAAAATGACTATCGATAGCTAAAAGTCAATGCAAGTTTATATCTTCCGCTACGAAGATAAGTTTCGTGGCAACAGGTCTAGTCTTCTGCCATGAAAATGATTTTCGAGGACGAAGGTGAGAAATTTCGTGGCAAATGGCAATAGGAATAAGTCAATACCTCGGCCACGAAATATAAATTCGTGGACAACGAAATTCTTTTCTTTGCAAAAATTTCATACCTAAAAGTCGATTTTCGTGTAGTGCTGCATACTTAAAAAAACCTTGCTTTTGTTGCCTTTGGCGGATCTATCGCCAACGGAAATATATTACTTTCACTACCTTTAGTGCTTCTTAGGCAATGAAAGGGAGTATTACCAAAAAAGTTATGAACCTGTTGTAATTGTGTCAATTTAGTCTTAATCTTTTTTTTTATCAATTGAGTCATAAACCTTTTCCATTTATGTCAATTTAATCATCCGATCAATTTTAACTAGAAATTGCTGACATGGACTTCGACCGACTTATATGGTGTGGCTAGCACAGCCGACGCTGACATGAATAAATTTTAATAATATTTTATTTTTTTTTCGATTTATTTTTTTTTCTTTTCTTTCTCTTTCTTTTTTCTTTTCCTTCTTCCTCTGGCAGGTCACTTTTTAAGACTCAATTGGTAAAAAAAAATAAAAAAGGCTTAGAACTGAATTGACATAATTATAACATGATTTAGGGCTTTTTTGATAATTTTCCCGGCAACGAAACACGTGACTTTTCGTCACCTTTTATATCGTATTGCTACGAAAATACATTGTGGCGACGAAAGTACAGTTCTTTCATCAGCTTTGGTGGATCTATCGCACCAAGAATGTACTGTGTTTTCGTCGGCCTTTGGTGGAGCTAGCGTGACGAAAACAACATCACTTTCGTCTATCGAGATGAAGCTTTTGGCGACGAAATCCATGCAATATCATCGCCTTAGGTCTGCACGTAAGGGCAACGTCAGTTTTCGCAAACTCATCTATTGCGACAAAGACTTTTGACACTTCTTGCGTGACAAAATTTTCGTTTGCCTTAGGGTCGTGAACGACAACAAAAGTCATGTTTCATTGTTATTGATAAGTCGCATCGCATGACAGCCAAATGTGACAAAGCTATCTTGACGTCGATAGAAAGTGACTATTTCGACGGGAAATGTTGAACTTTCGTCGCTGGAGGCAATGATGACGAACATAAGGAGAAATTCCGTCGCCTAATAATGCCTCGGGGAGAAAAAACGTTTCATTGGCTTAGCCCATATTTTGGTGTTGACATTGCGGTCGCAACGAGCTCCACGACCGCCGGTCCCAATCTCTTCCTCTCTCTCCCTCCTTTTCTCCCTTCGTCCAGACCATATATAAAGAGCACGTAAACATCGTTAATAACCACACTTGTAATTTGACCAACGGAAACCACACACGCAATAAACTAGGGAAAGAATATGAGTTTGATATTGCTGTGATACCATGTTAGAATATCAAACCCAAAAACTTAAATTGATAAGTGAAGTGAAGCTACGTGTATATAAAAGGCATGTAAATCCCGTAACCAAGTGATGTTGGATACTTTGACAATCATCAACCTCAAACCAATGCCATTGATGATAACCTCCCTACCGTTGTCCCCAGGATTGAGGGAGGGATTAAGAGGGGCTATAGTGCCAACTCTTGCGACGGTGGTCAATTGCGGCGAAGGCGGTTGCCGACAATGGCGGGTGCTGACGGGTGGAGAGAGACCATGGTTCGGGCTTCTGGATATTAAAATTGAACGTTCTTTTTTTAAAAATTTCTTTCTTAGTCGAGAATACTTTAGTTTTTCCACGAAGACGACCAAGGTCAAATGCGCAAATTGCAGATTTTCAAAGCAGAGGACGGATGGTAAAATGTGAAAGTGGTTTTCATATTTTCCCTCCGTATTTTAGCACAACTTTTTTGAAAGCTTTTAATGAACTGACCCTTTTGTTGAAATTAGGTGTTTTCTTTGTCTGAACTAAGAAGGGCCCGCTGGTTCAGATGCTTGCAAGCTTAGCATTGACGAATTGGGGCAATGTTCGAAGGGGACCACCGGACTCTCAAGCAAAATGTAATGGCGGAATTTATGACGTTGCTCGAAAATGCGTGTACTCCCAAACTCAACGCGTTAACGTCATTTGTCGCTATAATGGCTTTGCGTAGTTGGCCTTCTCTTCCTACCTAATGACTGAAAAATTTGTGGGGGCAATTTGCTTTGATGACACTTTCCATCCAATGGAATCCCCGCTATCCATCGAGAAGATTTTAGTGCATTTGGTGTATTATTAATATATTGGAAATTGAGAAGCCGGTTGTACCGACGGTGCAGTCGGGGTAATCACAAGAAAAGTCTTAAATTTATGGTACGAATGCCAATTCCATCATAAACCTTTCGATTTAGCCAATTTAGTGCTAGACGTTTTGACGATTTGCTAATGTAGTCCTTCTGGCCAAGTTGGTGGAAATCATTGATGTGGACACCAGCTATCCTACTTGATATGATCAGCATTGCAGTCGACAATTTTTGAAATTTTTTTTATGATTTTTTTAAAATTTTTTCTTTTCTTTTTTTCTTTTTTGACTGCGGGCCATTGACCTTCGCCGGCTAGGTGAGGGCTCATGGGCCCCAGCTGTGGTTGGCGAGGGTTGGGGCGATGCCACAACGCCCTCGCTTGTGGCCGACGACCTTGGCTGGCCACCGCCGAAGATGCGGGCTGGCAAAGGGAAATAAGAAAAAAAGAAAAAATAAAAAGGAAAGAAAAAAAAGAAAAAAATCAGAAAATTTTAAAAAAATTAAAAAAGTTGTCCACATCAGAGCCTACCGGCCGTGTCATGTAAGACAATCGGTGTTCACGTCAGCGATTTCTAACCAAAATTGATTGAAATGACTATATTGGCAAATTCTCAAAAGATTTATGATTTGAGACTGAATTAACGTCCGCACAATAAATTTATGACTTTTTTTTTGTAATTTTCCCCGGTGCAATCAGAAACTGCATATTTTTCCAAGGATCCTGGACAATTTTGTGAAATCAAGAATCCCAATCGGTCGGATTTGTTGCATATTCAGTTACTGGAAAAGTAAAACTAGAAAAAATAATGTCACTGGTGGGATTAAATAATACTGTAGAGACTCAACTTGCGTGAACAAGCTATTTCACTCTACAATGGGATTAATATAATATGGTTTCATGTGATTATTTGCACAAGGCATAAGGTGGGATAAGATAAATTTTGCGTTAGCTTGCATTTGAATTACAACCTAATCATGGGTTCGGTGAAGCACCCTGGTCCAAAGCGCAAATGGGTGATCTACATAAACGGTCTAGTTAGGCTCCCTCATGCCCGATTATTTCTACGACGAAACTTTAATATTAATTATATCAAGCTATCCATTTTATAATAAAGTTATTATGCTTTACAACAAGTCATAGTGTATATTCTCAATTGAATATACTTTGTATTTGATGTATAATGTATCTTTCATCAACCTGGAACATTAAAGATGGATGTGATGGCACAAAAAGAAAGGATGAGTAGACAGGGAGGAAAAAGTCGTGCATGTTTGACAAAACGAAAGGTGCTTCCGATTGTCCATTTTCACAAATGATACGTGTGGTCTCAACAGCCCCGTGGACACGGTCGGTTCTTCCCAGCTTCTTCACCTTCCATTTACTTTCCACATAATCAATTGTTAAAGCAAATCTGCGCACAACAGTCCAGGGAAGATTTTGAAAAGTATAAAATATCCATTGAATATCACTAGAATATGAAAATTTTGCATGAAATCCACACATTTCGTTATTATAGAAGAAGTGACAAGGTACAAGCTCACTGATAAAGCACTTGCAAAGACAATGAGAGGAATAACAATTCAAGCCTAGTTTTTTTTTTTTCTATTATTTAACAATTCAAGCCTAGTTGAATAGGAATTATTTCGACATACATTCCTAAGAAAAACGAATTGGGTTGCTGATCATATGCATGCGCATGTGTTGGTTCCTTCTTCTAAGAAAGAGAGCATTCGGGAGGGAATCCTTGTGAGAAGCGCTTGGTGTCGGCGCAGTAGTTGTATATCATGTAATTCTTCTGCACCCACTTGAGTCTTTGTTGGCCCGTGGCGTCCAGCGACTGCGACAGCCAGGAGTTGTTGCCTGAGGACGAGGAGGAGGAGGAACACGAGGAGGATCCCGACGACCAGACGCAGGCCTGCACGTCGTTGAAGCCCCGGTAGGAAGCAGTGAACGGGGCCTGCGTCCAGTCCGTCTTCACCAGCCCGCCCCTCGTGGCCCAGTCGTCCGCGTTCCACAGGCTCGAGTATATCCACATCGCCTGGCTCTTCGGGAACGCGATGCCCTTCGACTCGAGGTTCTTGAACTCTCTTATGGGAGTTCCATCCACGGAGAAGCTGCGCGAGAATAAGCAAATTAGGAACCGAAACTGATCTATATAATTAGTTTCATTCTGCAGTAAGAATTTATTCGAAGTGTTTGATAATATAGTAAGAGTTTGTGTTGACTTACATGATGCTTTGAGGGTTCCACAAGATGGAGTAGGTGTGGAAGTCCTTGGTGGGGTCGAACCAGAGATAGAACTGCTGTTCTCTGTTCCCTTTTCCTTGCGTGAATACGTTCGTGTGGAGGATGTATGGGTCGCCACTCAGGTTACCAAGAAACTCGAAGTCGATTTCGTCGTGCGCAGAACCCAAAGAAGAAAGCTGCGAACAGAAAAAAAGTTTAGATATCTCATCCGCATGTCTTATTCGATGCATGTCTGATGGCCTAATTCGCTTCAATCAATCGCGGTAATCAGTCAATCAAAAATATTTTCAAATTATTTAGAAACGACACGATTTTGTAAAATCGAGAGGCGCGAGATTTGTGGACTTACGTAATAAGCGGTGACGGTGCCGGCGGAGTTCCCAGGCACGAGTTTGAGCAGCATGTCGATCTTGCCGAACAAGTATTGCCTCTTGGATCGGAAGCCCGACCCCGACGTCTTGTCCAGGGACAACGTCAGGAGCTGGCCGTCGTTGAGTATCTTTGCGCGGCCGTCGCCCCACGTGATGTCGAAGTCGTTGTTGAAGTTGCCTGCGGCAACGACGGTGGTGGCGGCCGCCGCCAATAAGCCGAGGGCAACCAATGCCACGGCGATCTTATTTGAAAGGAAGCTTTGAAAAGTCATAGCTGTTTGAATTTAAGCAGAGAATCGACCAATTGGGTTTGGGCGTGCTGCTGGACTGCATGGAATTGATGGGGCATGACATGTATTTATAGTGGAGTCGAGAGGAGGGAGGGAGAGTTGGCAACATCATAGGGTCCATCTCCCATGCATTATTGTAGGGTTTTGATCTCTGTCTGTCCAAAGGAAAACAACATTTAAGGACCATTTTATGATTGGGGCGTGCGTACAATTGAAACCACCAAACATATTTCGGAGATATTATTTCGGTACCATCTTCCACTTAATAATTTAAGCAGATATTCCATATAATTAAGTTAAAAAGTTAGTTCCTTTTTATGATAAGGAACTTTTCCTTAAACACGTAAAGTTCAAAGTTATCAAATATCCGACTAATCTCGTGGGCCAATGAGAGAAGTCGTTCAAAGTTATCAATGCCATCTCGGAGACTTGTATTTTGTAGCATGTAACGTCGGTGCATGCCATTGACCAAACTCTACATGGCTGTAAGTCAATTCTACTGCATGCTTTCCTTTTTTCTGTAATTGACAAAGTGAGGTAACAACAAACATCTTCAAGGACCATGGGAGCTGCTTTATCTTGTAATATGCTTTGCCCTTTTGCACATGAAAATGGAACCATGCAGACCTTGGGACACACTGTCCTCTTCCTCTTCTGCTCTTTGTTGTAAATTTTGGTTTTTCAAAGCAAGTTGTTAAGCTGATATAAAAACTATCCACTACGTGACTGATTCTAGTTTCTGCAGGTTTGTAGATCTTGCATTTTACTTGGCCTGAAACTAGGTATTGGCCATCCAACAATCGTCGTCTAGTTGCTATGGAGGCTTAATTGATACTTTCTAAATGCTTCACGACATGGTTTGGTGATGGATAAACTTGATGCTAATGCAAAGAATTGTTGGTGAAGGCGGTTTTTAATCTGGTATTATCTTTTCTGGTTACTCAAGGTTATTATGGAGACATGGTAAATTTTAAGCTCGTTACACTGATGTGTTAAAAGGTCGCGACGCCGATTAGAGAGATTATGGATTGGTTTCTTGGTTTTGTTTTAGTATTTTGTGAGAACATCAAATTTAGATACTTTTTGGCTGTTTAATCACTATAGTTAGAATGCTAATTGTTTTTGGTGGCTCTCAGATGATGTGTATTATGGGAACTTCTACAGATGCTTGTACTCAAGTTTGAGATGTTGCTGAATAACGAAAGCAATATATTTCTAGCCAATGTTTTCGCTGTATAACATTATTTTATGGGTGCACAACAACGACAACACCAACACCAACAATCAAAATAATGATTATAGGATGATTTAGCGGTGATTGCAATTTCTACGATAATTGCCGACCTAAGCGATGGAACAAGAGCAAATGGAGAGAAAGGCTTATGGCAAAGTCCTTCATGGCAAGTCCATCGGAACACTGGATATCCTTGGGGTATTTATGCGGATTCGCGACTCCAAAATGTCCTCCATGATGACCTGTGATCGTAAATTAGTTCAATATACCGATGGAATAATCAGTATTTACTTGATTTAGGCGATGTACGGCGACTTTGACATCTACTTCGATATCTTCAAAAGTTGAGCTCCTTCGGCTATCTTGAGGCCATCAGGAAGCCACCATAACAGTTTCCCTTCAGCGCTCCATTAGTAGTACCAATGGGTCAAGTCAAGCCTTCCATCAAGTTAAGCTTTTAAGCTGTATCTTGCAAGATGATAATAGAGTCGAGTTCAGCATTTTCTTATGTCATAGTGAGTTGATCTTGGAGAAAATGTGAGCGCGGGATATGGAGTCCATGCAAAAGGCAATGCATACTGTGAAGCGGTAGGGGGGATTGGTTCTTGAGTGGGTCGTTTTCCAGCCTGGAATCGAGAACCGACCTTGTAACTCCTGGTTCCAAAAAATTGAACTGGCCGGTTCCAATCCGATTCCTAGTCCTACCCAGCAGCCGGTTTGATTTTTGTTTTGAAAAAAAAAAATCAAAAATTTTAAAATAAAACATTAATATCGCACCATCTTACTACGATGCATATGTCAGTCAAGTGGTTATGTTATTATTTGTTCATATCGCGATTCTTCATGTGCATAAGAGTGTTTTCTTTTTCAATCCGAGAGCTGGACTAGCGGAACCGGTTTTTCATCGAACCGGATGGTTCGAATCGATTTTCGGGTTTGAATCGGATTCGGTGGACGTCCCTAGAAGTGGAAGTGGTTGGAGAGAAAAAGTGGATGCGTGAAGGGAACGGGTTTGACCTGAATTTGGTGAAAAGCCCAAGAGGGACCAGGGACAGCTAAGGAGAGAAGATGACTTGCGTGTGAAGAGGGAGAGGTTAAGGAAGAAGGTTGGAAAAAATATTCACAGCTGTCTTTGGTCCACACATTTTAGGGGTCAGCTTGACGTCCAATGTTTTCACCGCCCTCCGACTTCTCCTTCTAGACAAAGTTCATTTTACTTATTTCTTGGTCCCTCTCAGTCTTCGATTTTGCAATAGGGACGTAAAATATGCAGAAATTCATGAATAGCATTCGAGCTATACTTTTTTTCTTTCACTTTTGTACCCATTTTGTTCCTAAACTACTAAATCAGGTGTGTTTTAGGGCTTGTTTGGTTCAGCATTTGCGGCCCCAAAATCTCTTGGCCAAATGCAAATAGCGTTTGGCCATTTTGTTTGGAAAACTTTGGGGAAATACAATTAGCATTTCCAAAGGCCTCTAAAAGCCTTTAGCCCAAGATAGGTTCGAAGGTATTTTGGCAAATTGCATTATCGGAATGCAAGTTCACTATTTATTGCATTGTTCATCTTCCCCGTGATTTACCCAGGGAAGCAAGTTTGAAGGTCGGCGATCACCACCTGAGGGGTCATTTGACCCCAGTGACCGCCGCCTAGAGTTCGTGCGACCTAAGCCAACACTTGCCTGGGTTGCGCAATCCCAGGCGATCATCACTGGGGCCTGACCACCCCAAGCGATCGTTGCCTGAGGTCAGGCGACCTCAGATGAGGCTACTCGTCAATGGTTGGTCGATAACCATTTGGTTAATTGGCAGCTGAGCTCCACTTGAGACTTTTTTTTAAAAAAAAATTAGCAAAAGTTCTTTACAAAATATAGTTTTTACTGAACGGTATTCAGGTTAAAGTTGTTTTCTAATTTTATTTTAAAATACATTTTACCAAATATTACTTGCATTTCGAAAAATTCATTTAGCCTAAAAGCCTTTACATTTTCCCAAAGATATTCCTCCAAAGCCTAACCAAACGGCCCTTACTCTTTCTATTTTGCCATATCGTGCGGTCGAGCTTGTCAAACTTGAAGATTGACCAAATCTCGATTCCACTACAAACCAATTACAAGGCGAACCAATGCAATTCTCGGTAAATTTCTGCTCGAAACTTGATAAGTTCGTCCCCATATGTAATAGAAGGTAATAAGAGCCCATGAAATTAGTAAGAGTTGTAAATTAAGGGGTGTAAATCATAAATAATGAAACATTGGAGGTCATTATTTGTAACTTTTTCAACATAAAGCGAAGTTACATTGAAGAAGTACTTATCTAATTGCAATTGAAGGATATTACAAGTCAGACAGCTGGATAAGCCGTGCTGTCCTCCATCACATTAACTGTTGATATGACTTGGGTCTATCTACATGGTGTCTATAGAAAAAGCCTGCTTTATTGATCTGTTTTCTCATCACAATTAACCTAATGTGTACTTTAAAAATATAATTGTCATGTCCAGAATTATGCTATTATAAGTACATCATTGACCTATATCCTAATAGGTTAAATTTTATTGACCAAAAAAAAAAATTCTGACGTAATATCAAAGCACGAGTCAAGAGTTTGAATCTAGAATCGTCTCTCAATTTTATTTTGCTTGTTATTTTTGTTATCCCACGACTTTCCTATTCCACCGCTTACGCGGTTTCCTCCTCTATCTTGTGCGTGTAAAAACCGGCTTACCCTCCTAAAACCTATGTTATAAGTATATCGTTGGCCCGTTGCCTTCTTTGGTAAAAAGAACTTGAAAAATTACTAATTGAGTATTGACTCATTATAAAATCTTACTTATCTTCAATATAAGAATCAGATCCTTCCCACACACTATGCGCAAGCTAGGAATAGAGATATGAACTTCAGAAACCGAATCTGTAATGCAAAAAAGTTAAGAGATTTTTCGAATAACTCCTCATAGATAATCAATTTTCATTACAATAATATATGGTTTGTTCTTTATCATACTCATTTAAAGGATGGACACCGAATTTAAAAGATGGCATTGTACATTATAGGGAATATAATATAAATAATCAATGAATTTTGGTCCAACGTGCAATGTGGTTCATTAATTTTTAATTTGTCTAATGTGGTTCCTGAATTTTAAATTTGCTCAATATAGTTTTTGAACTTTTAATACATATTTACTTTAGTCTAATGAAAATATTATCCTTTCATTAATTCAAGTTCATGAACAACATTGAACATTTTCATATAATTTAGGGACTAAATTGAACATGAATCAAAAGTTTAGGGATTCTATTGAACAAATTAAAAGTTCAAAAAGGATAATGCGCATTGAAATAAAGTTTACGAACCATATTAAATAAATTAAAAATCCAAAAATTACATTACACACCCTATCAAAGTTCAACGAGCATTTGCGTTATTATTATTCCCACGCAAAACATTCATGATAATTATTGAAGTACCTTCCAAGAAGCCGGCGTGCATGATTGGGTTCATGGGGCTAAAGTGGCTGCTCAAATCCTTAATGCATGCCAGCCTCGAGACATGACGTACTCCTGCCAATCGATATCCGTACTTATTCTGGAAAAGAGTTGGAGGAGTCCGACGACAAAAACATGAGTCTCGCCATCGTCAAAGGTTGCTTTCATGCGAAGCTGGCGCACGCTCATTTTCTTCTGGTTGTTCTTCGAACGACAGCAGCTGCCAGCAGCACATCATTTTGGCAAAAACGACGTCGCTGTCTTTCGCTGTCTTTCTTTTGTTCGCTTTGGGGGGGCGTTTCGATGCGATGAATGGGGGAAACTATGGACG